TATAGGCTTTATGCACATGCATGCTTTTTTTGTAAATTGGGAACAAGACACAATTAATATAGTTAGAAAATACAATTTCAAAATTAAAAAATATGTTTTAAAGTTTCAAAAATCAGTTCATAATTATATTTAATTAATTAAAATAAATTATTAATTAACTATATTAAGGTTAAGATACTATACAATTTATTGTCACAATTACTTACTAGTTACAATTAGAAAATGTTACAGTCACAAATCACAAAACTCATAGGTCACCACTATTTATCAGTCGCAAATTATTAAATTAATTATTCACCTATTATTTTTCAGTCACAAAACACATATTTTATATGTTACAATTTATTTATCGATCACAAATTACAAATTTTATAAGTCCAATTTATTTCACAGTCACAAATTATCAAATTAATCGGTTTCAAATTATTTATCGATTACAAATAATCAAATTTATTGATCACAACTTAATAAATCGTGAGTTACGACTTAATAAATTTAGTCAACTCACATTTTTATGTCACATATTATTTATTGGCTACAATCCCCCAAATAATTGGACATAAACACTTGTTCACCCCCACCCCACTCTCCACTACCACCGGCACCTCCTGCACTACTTTACCACTACCACCATCGTACTACTATTTACAATACCATATTCACCCATACCCAACAAATTAGAAACTCGCTCGTCCCTATTCACCCAAATCTCATTGGGCCACCACCTTACACCCTTAACGCAAACCGTCGTCGATCACCCATTCCATCACCAATATTCTTTACCTCGCTGTAGATACTCCTTCATAGATCCGTCGCGACACCTTTGTCTTTATCAACAATCCCATAGCCCTAATCAGTCAACAATCTCACAGAATAGTCACGCCGATGAAACATCATATCTTACTATCATTTAATACCACAACGTTCAGTACCATGACAACCATTAAAATACTACGCAGACGCCATTCAGTACCACAGTGGTTGGACAAGTATCCGCATCACGTAGCGGCATTCATCGCCACTGAGTAAAGCAGTGCAATGTTCATGTGCGCGATTGTGGGGAGGTGGTCTTGCACCGGCATCGCCGCTTCACGCAGCGACAATCTGCGTTTTATGCAACACTTCTGCACACGATTGCAAATGGTGGTCCTTCGCTGGATTGTGATGATGGTGTCGCCGGTGCAGAGTAGGCAACGTTGTGTTCTGAGAACAAATGCCAGGGAAAAAAATAGCGTTGAATTAGGGTGTAGCATGAGAAGAGAGTGGAGAGAGATTTGAGATAGAGTAATTTAAGGGAGAAAGTGAATATTTATTTAATAAATGTTAAACAATTAATTATAACCTAAATTATGAAAGATGAAGCTTAAAATCTTATTTCCACTTATAAATTTAGGTTGATGATTTTTCTTCCAAGTAAGTGGCCAAGAAATATAAATTGGACCATAAATGTAGGCCCAATATGAGTCAGCCCAACTAATCAAACTACTCTATCGAGCCCCAAAATTAACCCCTATTTCCTATCCACAAGCAACAGTACTTGATGTACAATCATTAGAAGGGTGTACCCGCTAATTGTGAGGTTGTAAAAATTAAA